TCTATTGTGTAGGTCCCAACAATTGTGGACACTTGACATGTGGTTGGTATCAATGAGTCACGTAATAATATAGGGTTATTGAGTTTATAAATGTAATCGTAGAATAATTTGTGCCGTGATATTTAACCGACAGTGGACATCATTGTAGAGTATGGTTTTCTTAGTATTAGTTTAATCCTATCTAAAGTTCCACTTCACTGAAATTTTTCCTTCATATTAGATCACCTCCGGAAGGTATCGGGAATAGGATTCGTCAACGCCGTTATGCTACTGTTACTCCACCAGACGTTAACTTTCTTATAAAAACAAATAACTCCCAGGACAAGTGCTCTGTGACCAATGATTCTACTGTACCCTGTGTTCCTGATTCGGAAGGTATTCCACGAAATTTAGAGAATAATAATCCTCATTCGTCTCCTCGATTGACTGGTGGATACTGGTCTCCGAGCAAAAACCATGCGTCTGCTTATTTGAACAAAGAGCTTAAACAATGCTGCGGTTCTGTAAAGCAAAGCCTATTGCCTTCTGTAGATTCCCTTCAGTGTAATAAAACACTGAAACCGGTTACTTCTCATTCTCTCAGTCCAATCGTCAACTGTCTAAGTGTCTTGAAAGTGACTGCAGATGAGCTAAAACCTCATTCTTCACCTCCAACATTCTTACCGAATCTTGGAAATCCAGCTTCAATGGGTAAGTCTTCAATTTGCAGGTATATTGTGTCTGTGTGATTTTTACCTCTTGAATATTACTTTTCTGTCGTAATCAAAGAATGTCACCCCATATTCTTTAAGTTTTGGTTGGGAACCTATCAGCTGTTGTTTATGTTAAAGAATCATTAGAAGCTAAGGAGCACCAAATAGACTTTCCATTCGGCACTGATCAATAGTGCTCATCCTGAATTCCTAACCAACAGCATCTGTCAGTGTTGAACATTTCTACCACAGTTTCAATTAGAAAACACAAAAAGACGAAAAGAAGGAATTTATGGAGAAAGCCTGACCAAGATTATTTACAAGCAATCAACCGAAAAAGAGCAGACAGTGGCGTGCTGAAGTCATCAAAGCAACCAACATCAAAAGTAGAAAACAACTCCAAAAAGGACTAAACTGCAATACTGGTGACACTATAAACAAACTTCGCCGTCCTAGAATAATCATCCAAGTCATCAAGTATAAATGAAGAAACCCAACAAGAAATACTTCAAACCGCCGTCTTACCTATGGTCAGACAGAGAAGGCACAGTATTCAAGAACAAAGCAAGAGAATGGAGTAAAGGAAGGGAATATTGTTACGCGACCAGCTGACAAAAGAAGAACCACAATAATCATGGAGAAAGACTACATCAAGAAGACTTGCCCAAATATGATAGTATATGGCGATCGCTGAAGATGAGTGCTATTTAAACCTAGGATAGTCAAATCGAAGGAACATAGAACTAACTCATTGAATCAATGCAAAGCAAAAAGCAGGGTCAATAGCTACTGGAGTCTATCGTACCCGTCCTACGTAGATTTTAAGGCAGACCCGAAGTACACAAACCAGACATCTCTCTCCGACGGATCGTTTCAATCTCAGGAACCCCAAAGTACAAGTTATTTGAAAAATCTACATGAAACCTACATATTTACCTAGGTCTAGCAATCATTCTAAGAAATCGCCAACTCATTTTCTAGAGAAATTCAATGATATTCAACTATATAAGAATGAAATTATGGTATCGTTTGGTGTTACAGCTTTATGCACTTACATTGGACAAAAACTGGAAAGGAAAACATGAAATAACTACTCAAAGGTAATGAACACTTCCATTTAGCACAACATTCTTATTCTCTATTCAGATGAAACATAGAACACTTGTAAATCTATAGAAGGTCTGACTCAACTACTGACTGGTTTCAACATAGAACTTTGTATCGGTGTGCAGCAGTTCGAATCGCCACACTACATGTAGCACACAAAGCAAGGTAAGAAAGTAAGAAGTTGAATAGAAAAGGAGATAATGGGCATCCTTGACGGACACCATTAGTCGTCATCAGTTCAGATGACAGCTCGCCGTGAGCCCTCACCTGGCTGTATGAGTACGAGTAGAGTGCCTTAATCAGTGCAATATATTTTCTCGGAATTCCATTTACAGCCAAGCATCGCCAGAGAACTTCTCGATCGCCACACTACATGTAGCACACAAAGCAAGGTAAGAAAGTAAAAAGAAATGCCAAACAGAGACAGCAATCAGAGATCTGAGGCAAAAAGAATAGTAATATCGAAGAACAATATATTTTTATTGGAAATTATAAGTTACAAGGAGTGAATGCATCTGCGCCACTGAGAACGATTTTGAGCCATATCACCGATTGCCTCCAGCAATTGGTGTTTACCCTCCCGAGAACCCCAACCAGGAAGTCTACGCCTTCCTAAGTGGCCTAAACTAACTGTTGTGGACTTCATTGACTGACGAGTCCATGTTTTGGTTTGACCACCAGTGACTCTTTTCCAGCCTGATCCATCCTATGTCAGCTAACATTGCCCATCGAGGAAGGCGATGACTAGGCATCCGTAACACATGTCCTAACCATCTCAGTCGATGTAATTTCACAGCCTTGTCTACTGATTTCCCCTCCTTACCTAGCACTCGACGCCTAACGTCAATATTGCTCACCTTATTATACCATTTCACACGGGAGATAGAAGGTAGGCACCTATGATCAAAGACAGCTAGCCAGGCTTTTTATGTCTTCCACTCTCAATGGCCATGTCTCGCAGCTATAAAGGAAGGCAGAGCGAACTGATGAGCAGTACACACGCCGCTTGGTCGACAGCCAACCGGATATCACGTCTACGCTAGAGACGGTGTAAGTGGGCATACGCCAAACGAGCCTTCTATATCTGTGTTGAGATTTCGTCAGTGATCAACCCATTCGAGCTGAAGCAACTCCCCAAATAAGTGAAGTGGTCAACCCGCTCGACGACTTCACTCCATATTTGTAAACTACGAGTTAATGTAGTCCAGTCCTGTAACATCATCTAACATTTGGCGGGAGCGAATCGCATGCCAAACATTCAAAGATTGCAACTCAGTGTGTTCAGAATACTCTGCATTTTGTCAGCGTCCTCGCCTAGAAGGACTATATCATCTGCATATTCTAAGTCAACAAGATTATTCCCTGGTAACAAGTCAATCCCTGAGTCTCTGGTAAATCTATAATGAAATTGAATAGAAATGGGGATAGTGGACATCCCTATCGGGCACCACTAGTTGTCACCACTTCAGATGACAACTCGCCGTAAGCTCTTACCTGGCTGCATGAGTTCGAGTAGAGTTCCTTGATCAGTGCAATGTATTTTCTTGACATTCCTTTCACAGTCAAGCATCGCCAGAGTACGTCTCGGTCGACAGAATCGAATTCCGCCTTTAGGTCAAGAAATATGACGATTGTTTGACGCCGGTAAGTATTCCTATGTTTTAGAATCTGTCGAAGGGTGAAGATATGATCAATACACCCTCTCCCTGGTGTAAAGCCTGCCTGGTTTAACTCGTGTTTGTTTCTCCCGAGCACCGCTTGGTTTACGCATTATTACTGAGCCCAGAACTTTAGATGGTGCGTCGGTTGTATTTTAGCATTAAACAGTAAAATGTTATGAAAAACAACATCTTTTTTTCATTCATTGGAAAATACAAAATCCTTTTATTTAATGAACTTCACTGGGAATTTGTATCCTGGCTTCTGAGATACATAAAATATAGTAAGCGAGGGTCTCCCTGGTTCTAGTCAAACCTGAAAATTATCCATTCGGCATCAATACGCCAAATGTGTAGGCAATCAGCTTGATTGCCATATACTTTGTAAGAACAGCAGCATTAGACGTCGCACTGAGGGCATTTTCCAGATCCAGTAAGTAACTCAAACCGGTACGCGTATTAACCCAGATTTCAAGCATTAATCAACAGACGAGGAAAGTAAAGCCACTAAAGATGTTAGGATAGCAAAAGAAAATATAGTAAAAAGCTTATGTAAGAGAATATCGACAAAGGACCGAATATGTAAATGCTGAAGTAGCTTGCGAAAATCTAGAAACTGATTAAGTCGTTCATTATTTTTCATTTCGGATTTCGTGTGAGGGATGGGATACTGCACCGACTGAAACAGATAATTGTGCTGAAGAACCACACCCTGAGCTCCACAATGAAACAAAGCAACATCAAGAGATGCGTCCCCAGACACTCTGGTGACTAGAACAGTTGTATACATCACCCGTCGATTTCGGATCCTCGAACCTTAGTACATCATAATTTGGAAAGTCCACTGACGTGGCTTGCGACTGCAAGATTGACTTTCGTCATTCAGTCTAATTAGATATATTTCAAACATCCGTGCTTCTCCCCATAAATATCGTTTTAATACTGTCCACAACTTTGTATGCTGTCTGGAGATATGGCGACTTGAATGGGTGTTTTCCTGTACAAGACTTTCAACTGATGACCATAAAGCCTCAGAAAAGGTATTCTTCGAAAAGCCGTACGATAGTATTAAATTTCGCAGAACTACCACTATGTTTAAAGAATCATTGTCTTCAATAGTGGGAAGCTGTAGAGTCTGGCGCAGTGAACAGCTTCAACAGCTGACCTATTCAACACTTCCTCTCCAGACTACAGAAGCAACACATGCAGAGTGATCATGAAAAATATTTTGCATATAATAGCCTTGTCCACTTAACAATACTATTTCACGCATATTCTCCTCCACCATAACTTGACGCAAGCTAAGGTAATCTTGATACTGTCGTCTCAGAGTACAGAATCTTAAGAGGACTGTTCTACTATACAAGCCAGACTATAAGACAGTAGCCACTAGTTAGATTCAAATTACTTCAATAGCACAAGCATGCTGTTTTCAGCTGCAAGGAAAAAACTTGCCACTGGGATGTTCACAGACACCTTGATAGATAATAGTAACAGAATGTTCATCATGTGGTCAACAGTGTGTCCAACAAGCCTAAAATATTTCCATTTTTCAGGAATGGTCTAACTACAGTATTACTGTAGTTCCACTAATACATATAGAAGTAACTCAGGCATATATCGAACTATATAAGGTATAACCTAAACCGTTTTACTAACATTTCACTCCAGGATGAGTGGAAAAACGAAAAATATCAAACCCATGAAGATTCTTAACGAATTGAATATATATATATATTCATGTTAAGAAATATCTCACTTTTTAAGTATAGATAATCAACTCAGTAAACATTTGGAGCATAACGATTGTGTATAGTAAACTCCTTGAATATTAACACAAAATCATCAAATATGACAGTTACACTCACACAAACTAAGTAATATGTTACTAAGTAATATGTTAACAAAGAGAAGAAACAGGCGGACAACAGATTTAACTGAACTCAACTGTTTTTATACATCAGTAGATACACAAACATTTTAGAAATGAGAAAATATGGCCTAACCAAGGCTAATGCTGTCTGTACCTTACACATCACAAGACGTGTGTACGCAGATTTTTAACTACATGTGTGTTCGCAACACTCAGAATGCTGAAACAATTTGTGGTGGTGAACTCATATGCACTTCAAGAATGAAGATGGAAAAAAAGGAAAACCAACACTAACGGTGATAAACATAATACAATAATGAAAAAAGCAATAAGAATTCAACCAAAGTCAAGATTTTCTAAATAAAAAATTGAAAGACAAATACCTACCGAAATATTTTGCAACTATTATGTGAATATGTGTGACCACAGAGCGGTGGAAAATACACTTTCAACTTTAATAACCTAAACTGTTCTACATCCTCCTACTTAGTATGCATACATTACTGTTATTTTGTGTGGTTTGTAAATACTCCTAAGTAATACATCAAGTAAGGAAAATGTGCATCTCATGCTTAATCATAGTCCATCATAGTTCACAAGATGAAGTGCACGGAACTTTGAATCCAAATTTTTATTTTATTGTAATAAGTTTTTTTTTTATTCATAGACAGAATATGACTTAAAGTCATTAAGAAAACAAAAAGTGGATGTGATATGCTGAAATACTGACTAGCTTTAGTAGTAGTAATTATAACTGTAATAGCAGAAACAGTAGATCGGTATTTCCTTTGACTAGTTTTTGTTTGGTAAGAAGAATTCAGTTACCGGATTGTCAGCGACATGGAATGTAGACAGAATGTATTGGAAATTTTATAGAACAGTAAAGAAAAAGAACAACATGCATCCACCTATAGGTAGATTTAAGAAGAGTTAAGAAATGTAGATAGAAAGGAGAATTGGAGGAAGGACTTGATCACGTATTAGCTTAATGACTGAAGCGTTTATGATAGCAGTGAAAAAGATTAAATCTTCGGAAACTTAGGTGCAGTAATAGCCGGATTTGATTCAATAAGAAAACGACGTGCTTCAGCTTTGTAATCATATGGACAGGCATGGACCTCAGCGTAACGGTGACGTGAACAGAAACTTCGACCGCAGCTGAAAAAAGAGGAAAACAATGCAAAGTATTGGTGAATCACCAGTCTGATTCGTATTTAATAGCCACTTAGGGAGACACTTAAGGACAGATACAGTCGGAGTTGCGTTGACTTCAATTCTACATATGATCACACACAGTTTAAACTACTCCTGCTCATAGGTATCAACCAGATAGTAAACTAAGAAAAATGAACTCATTTTTGTCTTGTTTACTGCCCCCACGCCTTGAGAATTTCATTCTATGTCGTGTGAGTTATACTTCCAGTTTTAATGCTGGATAAAGACTTCCTAAAGAGTACTTATCTATCTACTTCCCTTAACCTTATTTTGTAATGGAAAAGTAGTTTGGGGAACTTTTTTATACAATAAACATGGAGAAGCTATGTGACATCACCTTGAAGTCAGCTGGAGAGTGCAAACAGAACTTTTTAGGAGGCTAGTCAGTTCTTAGGCATCTTTAGATCTCAGGAATGGCAGTGTTTTCTAGTTTCTGCCTCCAAACAGAACTCTTGTAGTACACTTTTCAGCTAATTGATCACGACACATTGCAGATACAAAAATTCGTTGTAATAAGAATCTTTGGGAAAAATTATGTACTTATTCGACATTAGTAGTCTTTCAGTTAAATGACGTCAATCAGTTGGTGAAATCCACGTGTAACTTCTAATTATAAAAAGAGTAGAGTACATCTAGAAATCCAAAAGAGGACAGTTTTATGAATCTGCTAATGAAATCAAACTACTTTACAAACTGAGAAAATACAAACATGAATTAACGTAAGTTATAATAATGCATCTAACAAATTTGACCGCGTAAGTCGTTGATACAGTGATAAATAACGTGGACTTACCGGCAAGTATAATTGTTTGCGAGTCCTATCTTTCGCAGGCAAAGAGCACACCGTTTGCATCGAGTAGAATTAGGAGATGGAGGACGAAATCCTTCCGTTTTACTCGATGGAACAGTATGTGAAGATAACGAGTCTGATAGCTTAGGATCACAATTGACATAGCCATTAGATGCTGCTGGATTTTCGCCCTTTGAGAACAGAGATGAATTAACTGTAGTCAGACGACCTAGAAATTAAAAAAGCTCATATGAGTAGATCATCAAATGAATAATATATCAGTAAGGAATTGATATTTTAAGCTTTTCACGAATTCAGTATCAAACCAGAGGCGTCACACATGTAAACAAGAAGGGTTATACAACACTTAATAAGACTTGTTAGACAATGACAGTATTATTTAATAATGGTCTCTTGAGTGAAGCTTACTCACAACTAAAAACGAGTCTACCGGGGACAGTGAGGCACTACTTAATAAAATTTCATTAATTCATATGATCTAGAACAGGATAGCTTTGAGTGTTAGGGCAGAAAAATCCTATTTTGACTGGATCTCAGTAGGTAGTCGTATGTGTGTGGCGCGTCTGAGAGGGTCTGTTAGAAGGAAGGACGGCGTTACCCATCGCTGTCTTTTCATAGTCTCCGGTTACACTCCAACAGACTGCGGTTCGGATGAACTAAAGGGTGACTTCTACCAGAAACTGTCTAATTTGCTGCACGAAGCAAAACGTTCAGATATAGCTGTTTTAGCAGGCGACTTCAATGCCCAAGTAGGGAAGTTGTGTCGGACTGAGAAGTTTGCAGGTGGTACGCATGGACTTCCCTGCCGACGAACTGACAACGGTGATCGTCTTCTACAGTTCCGTTCAGATAATCATCTGTTCCTGGTCAGCACTAACTTTAGGCACAAAGAGACACTGTGTAACCTGGCGACCTCCATCACCAAATCAACGTTGGACTCAGATACACCACATAGCGATAGGGTATCGTTGGCGAGGGTCAGCAGAAGACTGCTGCTTCTTCTGGAACACGTGCGTAGACTCCGATCACACCCTGGTTCGCGCACATCTATGCTTACGATTAAATGGACATAAGAAACTGCTGGCAGCGAAACAGTTACGTCCCCAACTAGATCGAAACTAGAGTCGCTACTGTGCGTCGGTGGCACAGTGGTTAGGACGCTCGCCGACCATGCACATGGTCCGGGGTTCGAGCCCACGCCGACGCACACCTGATATCTATGGTCGGCCTGCAAAATTTGGGCTACCGATATCCATGCTGAAAATTCCATACTTGTACCAAAAATACAGTGTGGAATCAAGCTGTAAATCAAAAATTAAAAAAAAAAATTAAAAAATTACTTAAGGAAGAAATAGCCAAACGAGTATCTGAAGTCGACAGCAGGACTCCGCCTGAGGAAGCCTGGTACGATATAAAATTAGCTGTAGACACAGCTGTAAAAGCTACTGACAACTTGAAATCTAAAGTTAGCAAGAGCCATTTATTGGATTTCTAGCACCTCATCCGAACTGACTGACTTAAGGAGACGTATTTCGGCGAGCTTCGACTGTGATGAGGAGCGAAAGCTACTCGAATGCAGAATAACAAGAAGTCTCCGCAACGACCATGAACAGTAGTAGGTGACAAAAAGTGAAAGAGATGGAAAAGGCATCGGCGATCGCCAACACCAGATACATATTTAGGCTTATCAGGAAAACAGGTGGTAAAAGGCAAATGATAAGTGAAACAATCTCTGACAAAAATGGCACCATAATTAGCTCCCAGAATAGACGACTAGAAGCTTGGAAAGAACACTTTGAGGAGCGATTCAGTCGGCCTACAGCCAGGCTTTAAATTACCGAACATCCAATACCTTCCTGAACAGGATATAGATACAGGCCTTTCATCCCTAACTGAGGATATTAAAACTGTCACTAGTCTGAAACGAGGCAAAGCAGCGGGACCTGATGTAATGACTCCAAAGGTGTTCAAGGACAGTGGAGACAATTTATTTTCTGCTTCAACTAAGGTATAAGGCAGCGTCTGGGAATCAGAGGAAGTCGCGTCGGGTTGATTATCTCGACACACAAGAAGGAAGACAAGTTTTCCTGTGATAATCACAGGGGGATTAGCTTGACTAATACAGCATCTTAAGTTATAGAAATTTCTTATCCTTTACGTTCCCAGTGAAACATAGGGCCTCAAGCAAATGGCTTGAAGTTTCTGTAGCAGTGTTTATTTTTACAAGATAGGGTTGTTGGCCTCATGCCCAACCTTTCCTCTTTACCGGAATTGTTTCTGGTATAGCGAAGTAGAGGAGTGCGTCGCCAAAGAATCAAAACTCGGACTATGTGCATGGTCGGCGAGCGTCCCAACCACTGTACCACCGACGCACCATCTATAGTTCTGGGCTCAGTAATAATGCGTAAACCAAGCGGTGCTCGGGAGAAACAAACACGAGTTAAACCAGGCAGGCTTTACACCAGGGAGAGGGTGTATTGATCATATCTTCACCCTTCGACAGATTCTAAAACATAGGAATACTTACCGGCGTCAAACAATCGTCATATTTCTTGACCTAAAGGCGGAATTCGATTCTGTCGACCGAGACGTACTCTGGCGATGCTTGACTGTGAAAGGAATGTCAAGAAAATACATTGCACTGATCAAGGAACTCTACTCGAACTCATGCAGCCAGGTAAGAGCTTACGGCGAGTTGTCATCTGAAGTGGTGACAACTAGTGGTGCCCGATAGGGATGTCCACTATCCCCATTTCTATTCAATTTCATTATAGATTTACCAGAGACTCAGGGATTGACTTGTTACCAGGGAATAATCTTGTTGACTTAGAATATGCAGATGATATAGTCCTTCTAGGCGAGGACGCTGACAAAATGCAGAGTATTCTGAACACACTGAGTTGCAATCTTTGAATGTTTGGCATGCGATTCGCTCCCGCCAAATGTTAGATGATGTTACAGGACTGGACTACATTAACTCGTAGTTTACAAATATGGAGTGAAGTCGTCGAGCGGGTTGACCACTTCACTTATTTGGGGAGTTGCTTCAGCTCGAATGGGTTGATCACTGACGAAATCTCAACACAGATATAGAAGGCTCGTTTGGCGTATGCCCACTTACACCGTCTCTAGCGTAGACGTGATATCCGGTTGGCTGTCGACCAAGCGGCGTGTGTACTGCTCATCAGTTCGCTCTGCCTTCCTTTATAGCTGCGAGACATGGCCATTGAGAGTGGAAGACATAAAAAGCCTGGCTAGCTGTCTTTGATCATAGGTGCCTACCTTCTATCTCCCGTGTGAAATGGTATAATAAGGTGAGCAATATTGACGTTAGGCGTCGAGTGCTAGGTAAGGAGGGGAAATCAGTAGACAAGGCTGTGAAATTACATCGACTGAGATGGTTAGGACATGTGTTACGGATGCCTAGTCATCGCCTTCCTCGATGGGCAATGTTAGCTGACATAGGATGGATCAGGCTGGAAAAGAGTCACTGGTGGTCAAACCAAAACATGGACTCGTCAGTCAATGAAGTCCACAACAGTTAGTTTAGGCCACTTAGGAAGGCGTAGACTTCCTGGTTGGGGTTCTCGGGAGGGTAAACACCAATTGCTGGAGGCAGTCGGTGATATGGCTCAAAATCGTTCTCAGTGGCGCAGATGCATTCACTCCTTGTAACTTATAATTTCCAATAAAAATATATTGTTCTTCGATATTACTATTCTTTTTGCCTCAGATCTCTGATTGCTGTCTCTGTTTGGCATTTCTTTTTACTTTCTTACCTTGCTTTGTGTGCTACATGTAGTGTGGCGATCGAGAAGTTCTCTGGCGATGCTTGGCTGTAAATGGAATTCCGAGAAAATATATTGCACTGATTAAGGCACTCTACTCGTACTCATACAGCCAGGTGAGGGCTCACGGCGAGCTGTCATCTGAACTGATGACGACTAATGGTGTCCGTCAAGGATGCCCATTATCTCCTTTTCTATTCAACTTCTTACTTTCTTACCTTGCTTTGTGTGCTACATGTAGTGTGGCGATTCGAACTGCTGCACACCGATACAAAGTTCTATGTTGAAACCAGTCAGTAGTTGAGTCAGACCTTCTATAGATTTACAAGTGTTCTATGTTTCATCTGAATAGAGAATAAGAATGTTGTGCTAAATGGAAGTGTTCATTACCTTTGAGTAGTTATTTCATGTTTTCCTTTCCAGTTTTTGTCCAATGTAAGTGCATAAAGCTGTAACACCAAACGATACCATAATTTCATTCTTATATAGTTGAATATCATTGAATTTCTCTAGAAAATGAGTTGGCGATTTCTTAGAATGATTGCTAGACCTAGGTAAATATGTAGGTTTCATGTAGATTTTTCAAATAACTTGTACTTTGGGGTTCCTGAGATTGAAACGATCCGTCGGAGAGAGATGTCTGGTTTGTGTACTTCGGGTCTGCCTTAAAATCTACGTAGGACGGGTACGATAGACTCCAGTAGCTATTGACCCTGCTTTTTGCTTTGCATTGATTCAATGAGTTAGTTCTATGTTCCTTCGATTTGACTATCCTAGGTTTAAATAGCACTCATCTTCAGCGATCGCCATATACTATCATATTTGGGCAAGTCTTCTTGATGTAGTCTTTCTCCATGATTATTGTGGTTCTTCTTTTGTCAGCTGGTCGCGTAACAATATTCCCTTCCTTTACTCCATTCTCTTGCTTTGTTCTTGAATACTGTGCCTTCTCTGTCTGACCATAGGTAAGACGGCGGTTTGAAGTATTTCTTGTTGGGTTTCTTCATTTATACTTGATGACTTGGATGATTATTCTAGGACGGCGAAGTTTGTTTATAGTGTCACCAGTATTGCAGTTTAGTCCTTTTTGGAGTTGTTTTCTACTTTTGATGTTGGTTGCTTTGATGACTTCAGCACGCCACTGTCTGCTCTTTTTCGGTTGATTGCTTGTAAATAATCTTGGTCAGGCTTTCTCCATAAATTCCTTCTTTTCGTCTTTTTGTGTTTTCTAATTGAAACTGTGGTAGAAATGTTCAACACTGACAGATGCTGTTGGTTAGGAATTCAGGATGAGCACTATTGATCAGTGCCGAATGGAAAGTCTATTTGGTGCTCCTTAGCTTCTAATGATTCTTTAACATAAACAACAGCTGATAGGTTCCCAACCAAAACTTAAAGAATATGGGGTGACATTCTTTGATTACGACAGAAAAGTAATATTCAAGAGGTAAAAATCACACAGACACAATATACCTGCAAATTGAAGACTTACCCATTGAAGCTGGATTTCCAAGATTCGGTAAGAATGTTGGAGGTGAAGAATGAGGTTTTAGCTCATCTGCAGTCACTTTCAAGACACTTAGACAGTTGACGATTGGACTGAGAGAATGAGAAGTAACCGGTTTCAGTGTTTTATTACACTGAAGGGAATCTACAGAAGGCAATAGGCTTTGCTTTACAGAACCGCAGCATTGTTTAAGCTCTTTGTTCAAATAAGCAGACGCATGGTTTTTGCTCGGAGACCAGTATCCACCAGTCAATCGAGGAGACGAATGAGGATTATTATTCTCTAAATTTCGTGGAATACCTTCCGAATCAGGAACACAGGGTACAGTAGAATCATTGGTCACAGAGCACTTGTCCTGGGAGTTATTTGTTTTTATAAGAAAGTTAACGTCTGGTGGAGTAACAGTAGCATAACGGCGTTGACGAATCCTATTCCCGATACCTTCCGGAGGTGATCTAATATGAAGGAAAAATTTCAGTGAAGTGGAACTTTAGATAGGATTAAAATAATACTAAGAAAACCATACTCTACAATGATGTCCACTGTCGGTTAAATATCACGGCACAAATTATTCTACGATTACATTTATAAACTCAATAACCCTATATTATTACGTGACTCATTGATACCAACCACATGTCAAGTGTCCACAATTGTTGGGACCTACACAATAGAACCAAGAATAAGAGTCTGATTAGGATATGTATTCCATAAACACAGATAACCAAGGATTACCCGTGGAAGCTAAACAGAATGCAATGAGAAACAGTGGTTCCTAACGTATCAAAACAACCTACTACGCATAGATAAAAAGTTAAATATATTACACGTAAATGTGTCCCCATTAATCACAACATACATGCACAAACACGGAACAACACGACTACCACTCAGTTCAAGAAATACACATCCTCAAGATTAAATACAACACCCATGCATACATTCAACACTATCCACCGCGACACTGTCTCCCATCCATCCACAACACACATCCACACACAAACGTCGAATACTCCACTAACATACAATACCCTCATCACACAGACATCTACACCAAAATACTAAAGCCACAAGACAAGCATATCAAATACACTCGATACTCATCTACTCATCAACCACGAAGAACACACAACGCTCTATGGGAAACACAATTTATACTCACTACACACCATCATGAAATCTAAACACATCGCCACACCTCATCACTGGCAAATCCGAAATTATCCTGGTCTAAAGTAGTTGATACTATACTTGACGAAGAAAATCAATTAAGTACGAAAGACAGCGCATATATACCTTGTAGTTTGTGATTCTATACACGCTTTCCAAGCATCCGACACAATTCTTTGAACGAGTGGTGGTAATGGAGGGGAGTCTTCGTCCATAAAAAAATTTTTATCATCTTCTTTAGAACTTTCTCCTTGTTCAAAAGCATCTATAATTACAGCAGAAAAATCAGATTTTCACAATGATGAAAAGTTTTATGGACTCAGTACAAAAACAAATAACTAATTTGGTGGGAAGAAAAGAGCCTTCATTCTATCAATAATATAACTAATTAAATAGTTTGACAGAAGCAATCCTAATTTTGTTAGCACCTGTAATTTTTCGGCATGATCCTACATTTAAACAGTTAAAGTTGAGATTATGTCATATCTAATTTTTTTTCAGAGAAAGGAAACTATTTCTAGCACTCGACGACTGCCTCACAGACATGTGAATATGTTTGATTTTCATCCAGCTTAATAACATAAATATCAGTATGAGGGCTTCTCCTGAAGTCTAAAATTTCATGTCTTGATAGTCTGATGTAGTAGTAGGCAGTAGGCTCACATTTTCCTACGTCTTACTATTGATACATTTACGAATTTACGCTACATCCAACCAATTTCCGTTTTACACCTAATTGGTCTTACTATTGTTGCCATTGTATACTGGAGTATACGATGGAGAAGAATTCATAATGCCTAACTCAAACGCCAGGAATTGAATGTTCGTGATTTCCTCAACTAAACAATTTTACTTAACATTCAACGTCTATGTAGATAACTTAACAGACTCACTAAACGTTAACTACCTTGAAATGAAAGCATTGGTCAAATACTTGATTCTTATCCATTCTCTACCTCTAGTGACCACATCTCACGAAGACAGACTAAAACAGCGTGATACCACACAAAATATTCAACCCATTATGAATGACTAGGCATCTCACCTGCTGTGGTGGAATGTGATAAAAGTCAAACTAGCCTTTTCTGACACCTTTAGCCACCGACCAGGTAGGACGAATGCAGATCCTAAAGTATCAGACGCCTTTCATCAATCATTTTCTTACATTCAAAAGGACTATAGATAGAAACTAACCCTGGAGTAAACATTTATTTTACCTCTCGTACTGATGATGTACAGAGTGGCTATTAAATATGAAATTGTCAAGCAACTGCCTATGTTGTAACAGTGTTTGTAACCTAACTAACTACAAGCAACAGGCCTACTTAACCTGGTTGCATATAAAAGACAAGCACCACATAATCGCTGTAATGAAGATATCTTAAGAAGTGTTTGAAAAGGATAACAGGAACAGTAAAAGTAGACAAGACTGAGATAACATATTTCCTCTATAAGAGTTTGAAAATGTGACCAATAGTTTCACAGCCCAAACAGAGTTAATGCTTTAAAACATACCTGATGACTGGTCTTCATTTGGAGAACCTTCTTCGCACGTAACACATACTATCTCTTTGTCATTTTGATGTAGACCTTGTCTTCTTATGCGTACGTTCTTCATTTCTGTTTTCAGGTTATTCACCTTTTCTGCTAACTGACTACACTCTCGATACCATGAAAAAATGGCTGCATGGTTTGCACCATATAATCCCGTGGTTCCACTTTCAACGCTATCAAGATTACCACGAGAATCACACTGTTTGACCCCCAAAGGACCCCGAAAAGTGTAATTAGAGCATGGCGGATAACCAGAAGATATTAACGGCGAGCCATAGAGTTCTTCTACCTGTTGGTGGTGAAGTAAGTGATCCTCTAACTCAGCTAGATTATCATCTTGTTCCAAGACGCTAGAATACGACCGTTTAGAATCATCATCATCTCCATCATCTTCATCCCGATCAGTATCAGCCTCAAAGACATTCGCAGCAAAGGCATCGGGATCTTCATCAGGCCAGTGACCATCGAAAAATCCAGAATTCGCAAAGGAATTTTGTTCTTCATCTTCTTCTAATAAAGGGGGTGCTTTTGAGAGCCCCTGGCACGGATAACGTAGTCGTCCCCTATAATCGGTACACCTTCTCTGACTAGGAATAACCTTGGCTAGCAGATTAGCAAGGAATGTTGCAGTAGTCGACTTCGATTTCTCACTATCACCATCATCTAGAAGGTCGAACTCACGCACTTCAATTAAGTCCGTGGCGTTCTCATTGTCACTCTCCTTAGCTGTATTAATGCCTTCGGAAATTTCGGCTGTCGAGTGCTTTCCGCTGGTAAGAACAGAATTATCATGAGTTTCAAACAATTGACAAAGAGATGGAAGCTCAGCTGCCTCAAAAACAGGATAGTATTTTTCCGATGAACGAACCAAAGACAGAAGTGGTGGGGAATCGGAAAATTCTTCCTTATGTGTAGGCGAAAATGAGTAAGGTTTAGCCTCTGAGTTGTGGCAAACGATCGGAAGAGTTGAATTATCTGGTGTTCTAGTTAAAACCTCAGGAGTACTCCTTTCACAACCAGTTACACTGCAAGTCGCCTCTATACTGCTAAATGCGTCTATAGTATCCTGACTTGTAATCGCCATCGAAACTGCTTCTTCGCTTGCTTGGAGAGTATTATTTCCACTGTTTGAGTTGTGTTCATTTGATTCAGGACTAAGATAAATAAATGAAAACAAACCAAATTACCGAGACTAAAAATATCCACATAGAAATGAGAAAACATCATTGTTATTAATGAAATCCGTAAATTAAGCATGTTTGTATAGATCCATTAGTTGACATTTCACTTACAGCTATAAAAAAACCTTGATAAACTTCTAATAAAAACAATTTGATAGAAGATAAAACCAAATTTATGTCCGTTATTAAACAACACTCAGGAACATCGTGCAAGTTAGTGCAGTGAACAATTAACTACGTCTATTATGTGAGAAAAAAGGTATATAAATATGTTGCTTGAAAACTATATACACGTTACTAAACTTGGGCTACTACTATTTATCAGCTCAAACCTTATTAAGTGGGATTCGAAAAGGGCTTCAAGTCTGAAAGTTTAGTGCAGTCTAATGAATTAGAGTCGCAAAATTAGATAAAAAAACGATTTAATTCAATGAACATTAACAGATGGACTGGGTCTTAAATTTCAAAACATGACTTACTCTATCGAGGTATTTGTATTAACAGAAGAAATTTGAAAATCAGTTGAGGGATCAATTCCACTTTCCTTCGTTTTCAATGTCGAATCAGACGAAGTGGCACTATTTCTCAGCCGTGCGTTCGCTGAGACTTCAATAGGTTCCAATTTCGGCGCACAATCAATGATTGGAAGATTATCACCTTTGGTTTCACTAAGTTTAAAACGTTCGGTGTCAGCTTTCTGTGAAATCCTCTCCGATTTTCTCAGGAACGGATTACAAACTCCTCTAGAATTTGTATTTTGCGATTGCAGCGAATTTGGTTTCATTGGAGGGGTTAATATGCTAGGATGCATGAAACCATTGCTGCAGGTATAGCCAAACCTTGAGGGGAATCGTGGCAAAGCAGTTTGTGACAGATGAATAGGTGCCAGGCGTAAAGGTGGTATTCGGTGAGCATTAAGGGGGCCACCCCGGAGACCCAAAACTAAACGTAATGTAGACCCTTGAGTTATGGAGTAGTCTCTTAAGCGGCGGTGATCATCGAGTTCATCATTTTGCCAAATAAGATGCTGCTGAATTATTGGAATACCTGAAAGTAAAGAAAATCAAGAATACACTGAAAAAGATGAAGTAATAATACTCACGACATGAAATGACGCTAGCCTTCCAGAGTTAAAACTCTACCAATAGACTGAGCAAAAGTTTTAAAACCCAGAATTTTCGCACCAGTAGGCTACTGTCCATTCAATTCCTGTCTGTCTGTTTTCGACATAGAACTTTGCACAAATGTGCGGAAGTTCAAGTCGCCACATTCCGTGTAGCACGCGAAGCAAGAGAAGAAAGTACAAGAAAAGCATAATAGAAACAGTGAGCAGAGGTGTGAGACAAAGGAGTAATAAAGAAATACAAAACAATTTCATTGAAGATCATAAGTCACAGGGAGTGGATGCATCTGCGCCACTGAGAACGATTTTGAGCCATGTCACCAATTGTTTCCAACCATAGATTTTTACCGTCCCGAGGACCCCGGCCTGGAAGTCTACACCTTCCTACGTGGCTAAGACCAACTGTTGTGGATTTCATTGACTGATGCCAAGTTTTTGTTTGACCGCCGCTAGCTTTCTTCCAGCCTGACCCTATATCCGCTAACATAGCTCGTCGAGGGAGGCGATGACTTGGCATACGTAACACATGTCCTAACCATCTCAGTTGATGTAGCTTTACGACTTCGTCGATTGATTTCCCCTGTTTACCTAGAACTCTACGCCTAACCTCCATGTTGCTCACCTTATTATGCCACTTTACACGGGAAATAGAACGCAGGCACCTATGATCAAAGGCAGCTAGTCTTTTCATGTCTTCCACTCTCAGTGGCCAGGTCTCACAACCATAAAGGAGGACGGAGCGGACTGATGAGCAGTACACCCGCCCTTTGGTCGATAGTCGAACATCTCGTCTACGCCACAGTCGGCGTAAACTAACAAATGCAAAACGAGCCCCTTGTATTCGTGCTGAGATTTCGTCAGAGATCAGCCCGTTGGGGCTGATGGTACTTCCCAAATAAGTGAAGCGGTCAACGTGCTCTACCACTTCACTTCCTATTTTTAAACTAGGCGTCGATGTAGTCCAGTCCTGTAACATCATCTTGCATTTGGCGGGAGCGAGTCGCATGCCAAACATTCGTAGATTGCTGTTCAAGGTGTTTAGAAGACTCTGCATTTTGTCAGCGTCTTCGCCTAGAAGGACTATATCGTCTGCATATTCCAAGTCAACGAGATTATTCCCAGGTAGCAAGCCAATCCCTGAATCGCTGAAGTCACCTAGGGTTAAGTCCATTAACACATCTATGATGAAGTTGAATAGAAAAGGAGATAATGGGCATCCTTGACGGACACCACTGGTCGTCATCAGTTCAGATGACAGCTCGCCGTAAGCCCTCACCTGGCTGTATGAGTACGAATAGAGTGCCTTAATCAGTGCAATATATTTTCTCGGGATTCCCTTGACAGCCAAGCATCTCCAGAGAACTTCCCGATCGACAGAGTCGAATGCTGCCTTTAGGTCAAGAAATATAATGACTGTTGGACGCCGGTACGAATGCCTATGTTCTAGAATCTGTCGGAGGGTGAAGATATGATCAATTCCGGCAAATAAATATAAGCCAACGCCGTAGCGACCATAATTTAACACACATTCTTACGTAACCAACTAATAGTTTGCGAAGTGCTCACAAAACGGAGCAAACCTCTATAGTGATTCAAATATCGGAATTTTTCCTCAAGTCACACTCAGATATTTTCTGAATATCTCTCCACTGGTTAATTTGGAGACTTGAATCCCACTTCTCCAACCAAAACGTTAATTTTTTGTGAACTAAGTATATATATATATATATATATATATATATATATTATTGCTCCCGAACGCATACGAAACAAGCTGTAACTTTCATTACAGATATTTACTGCTCTTACATGAAACACTTTCAGATGCTATTGGTTACATTATGACAAACATAATTGCCTACTGATACCTTTACTATAACTGCCTAGTTTTTCTTGAATACTTACGTTTTGCCTATACCATCAATTACTTATTAGTGTGAGGTACTCGGTCATATTGAATTTTCTACCTTTCATGTAATTATATAGATATTTCTACACATAGTACCACTATCCTGAAAACAAAATCAGATATCTTTACAACTATCGGGTGCATAATATAGACATTTAACTCAACGTACAAAACCATGCACAAAGTAAACACAAATTATGTGAAGTCACACTATATGTGTTACCTAAGGATACCACCCAGTTGCCCAGCCTGAAGTAGGTGGAAAGGGATTTGAACCCTTGGAAGCTGCATTCACTATGTGCAGGTATTTATCAAACCACTGTTGCACACTGAAGTCGCTGAAAAAAGTAACCCACTGAGAAAAATGGGTATCTAATTAAATGATAAAACAGCTGCAACCCATGGGATTCGTTCAATACCATTCAAATTGACTTTTCACTATATAGACTACACGTCACCTTGAAAGTCGAAAAACCTGCATGACAAAACTCAAAATAGTCCATTAGTCTACATCTATTTATTCCTGGGCCTCATGAATTGACTTATCTAACCAAGAGCGTGTGGACTCCCATTTTCACTTATCAATGGTCATACGTGACCACTCACTTATAGACTATACAGATGTCATCAAAAATCAAAGAAAGGGTAAATGAAAATATCTTGGTGGTAATAGAACAAGTGAACGTTCAACTAAGAGTTGAGAAACGTCGGTCCGTAACCACTGATACATACAGATTTCAATATTCAAAAGGAAACAAATTGTGAGCCTCCAAATATGGGGATGCAGTTGACGTTACTGCAAACTCCTTATAGGATCCCCTAAATCAAAGTATTCTGGTGTGGAACTTCCAGTAGGAACTTAACACTACGAAATACAGATTCATACAAAGGCAGACAACAGAAAGGACTCATTACTGAAGTAAATGGTATCACCTCCATCGATAAACGTTTTGAAAGAGAAACTGGACATCACGGAGACATGACTGATCGAGTTTCAACGTGGAAATATATACTTTAAAGATTGGCATAGACTACATCTAGTCCACTACCCTTGCCCGTGAAAACAAAACTTTTATTCATCCCTGTGCTGCACCTGGTTTAAAGTTAGATAAATTGATGAAAACAAAACACGTAATTAATTGACTCCACTACTCCCGAAATTGAGTAACTCATTGAGCTCTTTTCACCTATTACCTTGCCATATACAGTATCATTATTGTTTCTTTGGGTTCCATGTTGAATATAGCTTCTCAACAACACACTACTTTGTTCTATTTCCTGCTGCACTCTTCGAGCGAGTCCACGGTTGCCCTCCATTTCCTCCTCGCACGATCTCGTCCAAACCATCCTAGGACGACGCACTAGTCGTTTCCCACTCGTAAGCCAGGTGCTCAATGTTGTTTGACGGTCTCTACAGCCTATGTCCGACCCATCTCCAATCTCGCCTACATATTTGTTGGACGATATATTCTCCGTCAGTTGTTCCTAAAGTTTCTGGTTGTTAATTGCTCCTGGTCATTTGGTCCTTAATATAGAGCGGAGACAGCTGTTGACAGTAAATCCGCAACCTGTGGGAAATGCTTTTCATGATGCATGAAGTTTCTGACCCAGAGAGAACTGACTTGACATTAGTGCTGAATGCTATATGCAGTGGTTGTGAGACATTCCAGTGTAATGCACTGTTGTGAAATATTTAACGCTGGTAATACACACTGACTTTCTCTAATTTTCTTTCGCTTCATGAAATTCTCATTCGAACCACTCGAGGTTCCTATATTATGAGCTGTAAAAGCTATAGCATAAAATCTATTAATCCCTCTTTGTGCGAATTAGCCCTGTAATCTATAAATTTACCACTTTACCTTAACACTGTAAGCAATCATAACATATGAGACGCCTCTGCAAGAATTCCTAAAGCACACGAAACAGGATTTTCCCCGGACTGATTACACAAGTGGAAGTTACTCTCTCGCAAGTCTTAGTTAGCAGGTATGTATTGCGAGGGCGATAACGCTATCAGCTCAGCCACTATCTGGACCAAAATTAAAATCCACATGAAATAATACATCGCTAATACTGGTTATAAGGATCACTCAGCACTGTGTTCATGAGCCAGTCAAAACGACAAACTTAGGACACCATCCGTCAATCCAAAACCAGTTTACAACAATATCAAAGAATTACAGAGGTTTGTGAAACCCAGCTAACAAGCCTAATAGGATGTCTAAAACCGCTGTGAAGTGCTTCAATAAACAAGCAAATTATCCCTTCGGACAAATAACGACACCGAAACCACTCACGACTGAGGGAGAAACCACACCTTTTTCTAGAACATAAAGTGATGGGTACTTGCAAATGAACAGTGAAGAAAGCCGCCGTTGACTCTATTTCAAGAGTTAAGAAAATGACCGGAGAAATATTGATCAGCATTTAATCATTCGAATCAATATTGAGACTGCTGTTCTATAATCGAAATGAACAATAGTTCTGGACATTCTACTGCAGACCGACATTGTCTGCAATCGCAGACCGAAGTCCATGTCAGAATGCATACATGCAAGTATATAAGCAGTGAGATGAAGTCTACATAAAGAACGAATGGCATTACAAGTACGTGTACCTAAGTGCAATGAATAACGACGTTAATTACCTTCGGCTCTTTGTATCTTGGACTTCACCGACATAATTGTTTCGGCTGGAGATACGTGAAGCTCAAAAGACAATCCAGTAAGTGTCTCTATAAAAATATCCATGAGCATGATTGTTCTTTTCTAAACTAGTGTCAACAAAACACACGTAATGGATGAATGAGGAGCAGATGGCAGGTCACCAACCACAGACCACTTTGCACACTTCGTCTTCCCGCCTAATGTGAGCGTGTTGCGCTCTCCACAAACAACATGAACAATCATTTAACTAATGAACTATTGAGGTTGTATTCTGTTGGTAAGTTCTAAGTAGAACGTGAGAATCACAAAAAGTAATTATGCCGCAATCACAGTAGCAGATCTCATAATTCCCAGTGTATAGAGAATAGGTGAAAAGGATTTGTAGTGCACATTGTACCTTTGAACTTTTGTTTAAACGGACTCACTGTTATAATTGTAGGGAACTGAATGAAGACGTTTTCACCTTATTCTGTCTGCGCCTGAACTAATCTGTCTATCTGCTCGTCGTACCTTCCGACTTGGTAAAGCACGCAAATATCAAAAGACAAAGGCTGGACTGTGACTGTGTATTGAAGTGCAACCACGATAAAGAAAGCCATGGTATTTATACATTTTACAACAATATGGACAGCTAACAGCATTTGAAATAATTGATCTTAATAGCCAATAACAAAGTGCGTGAGAGATGATAATATACCATATGTGCGAGGTTGACAGTCAGTAACAAAATGTGTGGGAATGATAATATACCATGTATACAAAATTAGCAGTCACTACCAAAATGTGTGAGAATGATAATATACCATATATACAAAATTAGCAGTCACTACCAGAATGTGTGAGAATGATAATATACCATATATACAAAATTAAACAGTCAATACCAAAATATGTGGGATCCTATCACTCACCCACAGTGGTCCACATTTTATGTTTTTGACTTGGGAGTCTTCCGTACGTTCATGGGTCCGCTCTCTTGTTGTGCTCTCTTTCTGCACACTCTCCGAGCCTACCTCCAGTAACGTCTGCAGCTAAGTTGTACAGTCACTTTATTTATTAAATCTGTTATTTAGTTACGTTAAATACAACTCATACTAAGAATTCTTTCCATTGTTAGCTTTTAAACTTTGATTGAGTTAATCAGTACTTACACGTTAGGTAGAGTACTCGTAAAGTCATAAGACGGTGAAGTTTTTAGTAAGTGTGGTGATATCGAAGACTATCTTAAGTCTAACCTCAACACTTACAAGTGGTGAGCCCGTTTTCACCGTTTTCCGCCATAGTAGCTTAACGTGTTAACAATTCTTTTTACGTTCCGTCTATTTTGTTATTTTTTTTTTTCTTTCACGCACGGTTATAAAGATTTGATTTGTTTTGTTTGTACTTATATTGGTTTTTTTATCACCTTGTTAATATTTTGTCTTGTGTGCAAGATGGCTGATGGGGGGTCATCAAGCTTTGACGCGGTGGCCCATATTGCCAAGCTATACGAGGAGATCTGTAGTATACGACAGGAGATGAACTCCAGGAGTCGTGGACGCAGTCCCTCGAGTTCGCGTAGTAGTAGACCCTTGCCACGTGCTAGCAGCAAGCGCCGACAGTCCCGAAGTAACCAGCCTGGAGTGTGCTGGTATCATCGACGTTACGGAGCAAAAGCCCAAAAGTGCACTCGCCCGTGCACCTTCGATGTTCAACAATCGGGAAACTAGCAAGCCAGCACGTACTGGCGACTAACGTCGCTGGCGAACCGCTCTCATGTCGCCTCTTCTATGTTACCGACCGTAACACTGGGATACGCTTCCTAATTGATACCGGAGCAGAGGTCAGTGTAATCCCACCCACAGTAGAGGAGCGCAGGCGGCCAATGTCTCTTCAACTACGAGCCGCAAACGGTTCGCCAATTGCTACGTTCGGCAGGCGCTTTATAGATCTTAACATCGGTTTGCGTCGTTCACTTCGTTGGGTCTTCCTGGTGGCAGACGTTACCACAGGTATAATTGGCATGGATCTATTGCAGCACTACCAATTACTGGTAGATACAGGTAATCATAAGTTAAGAGATCCTGTCACAAACCTCTCCGTCAGCGGTATCGTCACACAAGGCCCAGCCCTCAGCCCTGTATATGCCACACCCACTAGCACTGGTCCTTATTCGCATATACTGCAGTCTTTTTCAGATTTGTTCAAACCTAGCAGCGGCCTGCCATGTGCGACTTCCAACGTCAAACACCATATTGTCACTACTGGCCCGCCAGTTTTCGCAAAGCCGAGGCGACTATCCCCAGAAAAACTAAAGGTTGTCAAAGCGGAGTTTGAGCATATGCTAGAAATGGGGATTATTAGGCCATCCAGCAGCCCGTGGTCCTCACCGTTGCACCTGGTACCTAAGAATAACGGTTTAGATTGGCGTCCTTGTGGCGACTACCGCAGACTAAACGCACAAACTGTTCCCGATCGCTACCCTGTCCCTCACATACACGATTTAACCGCCTCACTCAAGGGAGCTCGAGTATTCAGCAAACTGGACCTTACACGGGCTTACTACCAGATTCCCGTCGACCCCGAGGATATACCTAAGACTGCTGTGATTACACCGTTTGGCCTGTTCGAGTTTCTTCGAATGCCTTTTGGCTTACGGAACGCTGCCCAAACCTTCCAGCGTTTTATACATGACGTTTTGCGCGGGCTTGATTTCGCCTTCGCCTATCTGGACGATATCTTGGTAGCTAGTCCAGATGAAGCCACTCATCAACTTCATTTGCAGACAGTTTTCCGAAGACTTGTGACACACTCCCTCACACTCAACTTGCCGAAGTGTCAGATTGGAGTCACTTCCCTGAAATTTTTGGGACATAGGATAGACAAAGATGGAATTTATCCGTTACCTGACCGGGTAGAAGCTATTCAAAACTTCCCTCTACCCACTTCTCCCAAGGCACTACGCACTTTTCTCGGGATGGTTAGTTACTACCGTCGCTTTATCCCACAGTGTGCTCATATCGTGACCCCCTTGACTGATATGCTTAAAGGGAAATGCAAGTCTTTGGTGTTCACTAAGGAAGCCTCGACAGCTTTTGCAGCTATCAAGAAAGCTATTGCTGACGCCACAATGTTGGTCCATCTAGATGTTCAACTTCCAATCAGCATCTCCGTAGATGCCTCTAATACTGCGATCGGAGCCGTCCTACAACAGCGTATGGCTAATGTATGGCTACCGATTGCTTTCTTTTCACGTAAACTTACCGCATGCGAATCTCGATACAGCACATTCGGTAGGGAACTTCTCGCTGTCTACGCTGCTGTCAAGCATTTTCGTCACTTCGTGGAAGGCCGGCAATTTACGGTATTTACCGACCATAAGCCATTGACGTACGCCCTCCACACTACTTCAGACCGGTATTCACCGCGAGAATCACGCCATTTAGACTATATTTCCCAGTTCACTTCTGATATCCAGCACGTTTCTGGATCGGATAACGCGGTAGCAGACGCTTTGTCTCGCGTATGTGCTACGTCCGTACCACCAACCATCGATCTTCATAAAATGGCCGAACTCCAACTGAACGATTTGAACTTAGAACACCTGTCAAATAAAACCTCACTGAAGATAGAACGCGTCCCCTTGCTAAACAGTGAGGCAACTATACTTTGCGATATGTCAACTGGTACTCCTCGACCGATTGTTCCCACGTCTTTACGCCGAACTGTGTTTGAGTCACTCCACAACCTCTCCCATCCTGGCATACGAGCAACGGACAAGTTGATTTCTGCGAGATTTGCGTGGCCCGGTATGAACCGTGATGTGCGTCAATGGACACGTGCTTGTGTGCAATGCCAACGTGCTAAAGTCACCAAGCATAACATCACGCCGTTGGGGACGTTTGCGACCCCAGACGCTCGGTTCCATCATATCCACCTGGATATAGTAGGGCCTCTGCCCCCGTCTAACGGCTGCTCGTATTTACTCACATGTGTGGATCGTTTCACACGTTGGCCGGAAGCCATTCCGATACCAGATGTAACGGCTCAAACCGTCTGTCGTGCCTTCATGGAAGGCTGGGTTGCCCATTTTGGATGTCCCGCAACTGTCACTACCGACCGCGGACAACAATTTGAATCCACAAGCTTCAAAGAATTGTTAGAGATGCTGGGATGCAAACGCATTCGCACAACCGCGTATCATCCCGCGGCAAATGGCCTAGTAGAACGTTTCCACCGTCAACTCAAAGCTGCGTTGATGGCAGTGGACAACAGTAAGTGGACAGATTCGCTACCACTGGTCCTGCTTAGCATCCGGGCTACGCTTAAGGGGGATCTGCAGTGCTCGCCAGCTGAATTGGTGTACGGTACCACCATGCGTTTACCAGGCGAGCTAATCGCTCCCGAAACTTTCGAGCCAAATTTCCCGATACCACCCGTTACGCTCAGCAACTTAAAAGTTTTATGCAGCGACTCCGACCAGTTTCCACACGCACTCAGAACCGAAAGGTTCAGGTTGATCGGCGACTTGATGACTGTACACACGTTTTCGTGCGTCACGACGCCATACGAAAGCCATTACAACCACCGTATGACGGGCCTTTTAAGGTCCTTAGTCGTAAAGATAAATTTTTCGTTATTGACCGATGCGGCCGCCCAGACACTGTCAGCATAGACAGACTTAAAGCGGCATACACTGAAGAACCTTCACCCTCCCCATCGGCTCAATCAAATAGCCCCACTGAACCTAGTCCTTGTCCAGACTCAACTACCTCACCTCCGGTGGTGAATGATGATTCTCCTACCGTCACCAGTAAGACCCCTGTCACACGTGCTGGTCGACGTGTTCACTGGCCCAAGAGGTTCGTAGAATTCTTTCACTGAACTAATCCATAGGTAATGCTACTAGTGATTTTTTATTCCTTGTCAAAATTTCTTATTCAATTCTGCTATATTTAATCTATTTGGTCCCGCTTCTGGGAGTAGTCGTTTTAACCCTCACTAATCCTTTTAATCTTTATCTCTCGTTACAGAGGACCAGCAGCAGTTTGTTTTTACCCCTAATTTTTCATCTATTTCATATCAATCTACTCGCTAGATCAGTTGGCTTCTCATGTCATCTTGTAACCCACACCAAAAGAGGAATTATGAACAGTATATTACCTTTCACTGCCCATTTTCTTCAAAAAAAATTAATTATTATTAAAAAAATTTTTTATAAAAAAAAGAAGAAAATACAAAAAAGTAAAAAAATGTAAAATAATAATAAATAAACAAAAATTTTTTTAAAATAAAAAAAAGATTATTAAAAAAACAAAAAAAAACTTCCACTGTATAGTTAAATGGACAGATATACATATTTTTTGCGCATAAATGCTTCACTTCTATGCTGTACATAGTAATCCGCTC